ACAATGTTTTCCTTCACCGTATATCAATAGTGTCTAAATAATCTTAGAAAGTACATATACCTAACTCAAAAACAGTATCATTGGTGCTTACCAGGTTTACGTTCGAACTATTGCACATTATTTACATCCAAATATTTTACGAATAGTTTAGGTTCTGTTTACAATTTAATTGAAATAATAAATACTAACAAGAACTAGTCTTAACCAGCACCATTATTGTCGTTAACTGTTTCGGCTACGTTCATGGATTTTTAAAAAAAATCCTCGAATTTCCCTCTCCACGTATATGATTTGTTAATATTTTGGTTTGTAAAACTAAATTTATTTTAAATAATATATATTTAAGTTGTTCATACACATACACACTTAAAATATAAATAAATATAACCTATCTATTCCTAGGTACATGCCTCCGATGTTATAGAACATTCTAGATGCTAATATTTATAAGCTCGAACATTTAGATCTAAAAGATAGTGAACACGAATAAAGTGTATCATACTTTCATAAATTAAAACCAACATTGCTATTAATAAAAATTAAAGCGGGTCAAGTGCGAGTCGGATGCGCGCACTAAGGGTTCCGTACGTACCTATTGTATATTGTATCTATATTTTTCAAATTTAAATTTCAACTGTAACTATTACGGTTCATAAGTATTGCCTGGTGGTAGTTAGAATGAAAGACGGACGTATATTGGGCATTAGTAGTTAATAGGGTTCCTGATTTTACCCCTTGAGTACAAAAACCCTAAAAGGTAGATTTATTAACTTTTACGTAAGGAACGCCTAGATAAAGATCCCTCGTTAATGAAGGCATTGTTTAGTCAACTTTATAGCTTCAATCGGAAAGAGTGATCTCGATTGTTTCTTGATAAATCGTCTATTTTACGTGAGCATAGGTTGCATTACATATTGTAGATCAACCTGAAGTGGGTGTGAGTAAATATCGCACCTTCAATTTACGCTAATCATTGAAAGGAGGTTTTATTTTTAGCTGTAAGTTTTGAAATAACTTTTAAATATAAAACAACAAAATTTTAGAGAGATGAGGCAATAGACAATAGGCGCACATAAATCAAGCTTACTAAGGTCCTTTTTAAAATGTCTGGTTAGCTATAACTTTTCTGATTTTCAACCATACAAATTTTTGGTAACGCACTTGTTGTAGTAATTCCTTCAATATTATGAGTGTCCAAAGGCGGCGCCGATTGCTTACCCTCAGTTAATCTGTCTGTTCGTTACCTATACCATGAAAAAACGGTCTTAAACTTTCCTCACCTCTAACGTGGTTTATGAGTAATACTTAAGGAATGATTAATAATAAAGCTTTTAATTGCAACGGTCACGGTGTCCGAACTAGTGGGCCACGCATTAACATACGCGGTCTCACTTAAAGAGCCACGAAATAGTGAAAATCTATTGTTGAATTAAAATTACGCAATGTCATTACTGTACTAAGAATAACTTTTATTGTTATTGTGACTGATAAGGACGAAAATAAGTACAATTAACTCCTGGACATTCCACACACTGTTCTTTTTTATTCAGATGGATTACCTGATGGTAAGCAATCGGCGCCTTCCATGTAACACCAGATTAGTGGCGAGTGCGCCACATTCGTGGCGATTTTTTGGATTAGCGATGAATTGGAATTAGGATTCTGGTCATTTAGGGATTGGAAGGGATGGGGTGGATGATGATACTCCGCGTGTTTTTTTTAAACTTTGCCCCATACTACCTTTTTCTCCTGCGTCGTGGGTACACAATAAACATATCACACCCAGACCCGGAACAACAACATAAGTATAATTTGAGAAATATCTATGTCATTTATAATCAAAACCAAGTCTTTTAATTAACATAGAATTAGGTACAGTTGAACTGAAAAAATAATGTGAAGAAGTAGATCTGATTTGGTCATTATTTTAATAACGTATATTGTATATTGACACTACGACTGCTCACATATTGACACATGTCTCTCAATTAACAACAGCAATAATACTTTTAAAGCTTGTCAGAAACCGCAATCAAAATTTCGTTTGTTTTCTACATACATATGAATAAGAATGGTAATTAACTAATTTACTTTCTAAGAACTTGTTATGTTTTTGTTTAATTCTCACTCATGTGGCTAGAGTATAGTCTATGCAGAAAATAGTCTTTGATGTTGGATAACAAATCGGCTTGTTGCGTCCGTATCTAAGGTAGATTTGCATACTAATTTGCGGGTACATTCACCTCTGTGTGCATGTATGTGTAATTATAAACACTAGCGGTTGCATCATGTCGTGAACATTGTTCATTTATATATTTATTTATAAGTATATACTACGCACGGGTACTAAGCTAATACTAAATTTTTCCACGATTCAATGTATGTATTATACATACAAACCCTTCTCTTCAATCATTCAATATATTTTAAAAATACGGCTTCTCATCCGTTGCTTAGTTTTAAAGATTTAAATGGCACGAGTAGATCGGCTCGACCGGAGTGATACCACGGCCTCACAGAAAACCGGCGTGGAACAATTACAGCGTTGTGTTTCGCCGCGTGATTGAGTATTGAAGCCCGAATCCTTCCCTTCCCCTCAAAATTTCCAAATCCATAATCCCAAAAAGGTTGTCAACGCACTCGTAACTCTTCCGTTGTTGCGGGTATCCACGGGTGGCGCTGATTACTTTCCATCAAGTAATCCGTTCGTTCGTTTGCCGATCTTATGATAGGTATAAAAAATATAGGGACAAAGAAAGCGACTTTGTTTTATTCTATGTAGTGATAGTGATTCTTAATTTATGTTTAAATGTTTCATTTCTAGATTAGAAGAGCTCCAAGTGAGCGACAACGAACTTCGATCCATAGACTGTGTGCTCCGACTCCCCCGACTCCGAACACTGGTGGCAACTAGAAATCTCATCACCAGTTTTGGCGTAAGTATTTAACACCCATTGTATTACAAGATCTTTATTTTTAATTAAGTGTAATATGTTCTATATAGTGATTTTGTAATGTTTCTATTTTTATCTAAAATCACTAAAATAGATTTTTAATACACATAGCCGGGCGCAAGGAATAATATACAGTGATCCGGCCCAGAACAGAAAAAGGAACGGGGTGTTTAGTCAGTAAGAATCTGACACTCCCTCTTACCCCACCCAGAGCGGAGGAAGTCAGTTAATGATTTCCCTTCCTCTTTTTTTAAAGTTATAGGACGGGAAACGAGATACCGAGATACGAGATACGATACGAGATACGAGATAATGAGAAACGGATTACCTAATGGTAAGCATCCAGCGCCGCCCATAGACATTCGCAACAGTGAGGAGTTATGAGTGCGTCGCCGACCTTATTAGGATTAGGCATTTGGAGATTTTGAGATTGGTGATAGATTATGGGAGGGGAAGGATTGAGCGTCGATAACATCATTCACACAGCGAAACAACGCTGTGGTTGTTTCACGCCGGTTCTTCAAAACAAAAACTATAATTTGAATAAGTATGTAAATAGTAACGCCACCTTCTCACATTTCAGCCCAAACCACAAATGGCGCCAGAAGACGAAAATAAATCAGAATATCGAGCTCCTCTTACCACCGTGGACCTGCGACACAACAAGTTAAAAGGGAGCATCATACTGGGCAATTATGAGGTACATAATGTTCACCTTAATTGCTATTGCAATAAGGGTTAAAATCAATAACGTGTAACATGGCGAAGTCTGAAAGTTAAGGAAGCTACGAGTGTGTTGCCGACTTTTAGGGATAAGGGATTTGGTGATTGGGGTGGGATTAGGGGAGAGGAAGGATGGAGCATTCGGTAACCTCACCCACACCGCGAAATACAATGCTGTGGTTGTTTCACGCTGGATTTCTGTGAGGCCGAAATCCATATTTTCAGTTTTTATCCTTTCATTAATCCATCAAAATACGTAACCATAATGGCTTAATAATCTTTAGTTAACTAACACTTATTACTAATTAACAGTACAATATCCAAATTTAATTACTTCGGATGTCCGTTTGTTGTTGAGGCCATTACCAGCATGCCACAGATTATATCAGAATATTTACTTGACCTAGGGGAAATATTTACTACGCATTTGATTTATTATTTTAAACGTTAAATAAACAAAAGTTTATCTTTTTATTTATTATCTATATATTTTATAAAAGAAAGTCAGCTATTTATAACTCAAGAACGGCTGAACCAATTACGTTGAGAATGGTGAGGATGTAGTTTAGAACCAGAAGAAGAACATTAGGACATAGGAGCGTATAGTTCGTAGATTAGGGTAGGTAGGGTAGGGTAGATAGAGTAGGTAAGTATCTAGGCAAGGTAAAAAATAGGTAGTTAAATGACGGGAGCAAAGCCACTGGTTAAAGCTACTATTTAACTAAATGACCCCTGATATTTGAAACAATAATTATTATGAATTTGAATATCATTTCGTATGAAAAGTTAAAAATTATTATAATATAATTTAAGCGTGGGAGAGTCATGCTTCCACGATTAATACCACGGCCTCACAGAAAACCGGCGTGAAACAACCACAGCGTTATGTTTCGCCGTGTGAGTGAGGTTACCGGTGGCCCAATCCTTCCCCTCCCCCAATCCCTTAATCTCCAAAACACTAATCCCTAAGAGCGTAACTCCTCCGTTGCGGGGTGTCCATGGGCGGCGCTGATTGCTTATCATCAGGTAATCAGTCGGCTCGTTTGCTGGTCATAAAAAAAAATTAGACGTTACTGCAGGCAATTATTTTAGACCAATTTTCGTTCTGCCATATTATAAGTCGTATTACGAAGGGAAATATTTGTTTTTATAAACTGCCGGTACTGATTTTGTGAAGAGAAGACATGAGGAAAACATGAGATTCGAACACAGTGCGACATCGTATTTACTTATAGTATTTATTACAACACAAAATTGATCCACAATTTGCTTTACAAACTTTTCTTTTCATCTTCCAGCACCTGGTTTCTTTAGACCTATCTCACAATAGCGTGGAGATGTTAGTGGTGTCAGCGTTGCGCGGCCTTCGCGAGTTGTACGCGGCACACAACACACTGCAGCATCTCGCTCTGCATGGCGCCATGCTGAGGATCCTACGAGCTCCTTACAACCGTAAGTTTTGAAGTTTTACTTACCTACTTCAAGTCTCATATAAATAAGCGCAATAACGCCCCTCGGCTTCAGCCTAGAGCAGGAGAAGGAACGGGGGTTTTAGTCAGTAAGAGTCTGACACTCTCGCACCACTCTGGGTGGAAGAAGTCATTTGATGATTATCCTGCTTTTAACCCAAAGGATCGCAAAACATTTAACAAAGACTTTTGAATAGACGTGAAACATTTCATACAATTCAATTTACAATGAATTATAACTCAAGACATTCATTCTTCCAGAACTAGAAACTTTAACAACAACAGTACCACCGATCAACCTAGTCGAAATCGACGTGTCGCACAACAAGCTCACCTCGTTACCGCAGTGGCTCAGCGGTTGCTCCGATCTCACCACGCTTCACGCCAGCAATAACCAGCTTACCTCCCTCCCAGAGCATCTATTCTGCAGCGAACTCTCCAGTTTAACCAGCTTACATCTAGCCCACAATAAGATATCCAGCATACCTTCCATGCCAAGACTAAGGTCACCGCTCCGAGAACTACTTCTACATGATAACTGTATACAATCCCTACCAGAAAACTTCTTCTCCACCTGCGATCGAATGTGCGTCTTGAATCTAACTAACAATAGACTAAGTCGACTACCACACGCCAGAGGTCCGTCATCACACTGTCTTGAAAGACTCTATCTTACTGCCAATTGCCTCACTGATGAAGTAGCAGATGTTATAATAGCTTTCAGAGGATTAAAGATATTACACATCGCGTATAACTGCCTCACAAATCTACCAGAAACATGTATCAACTTCTGGCCAGATATTGAAGAACTTGTATTATCTGGAAACTGCCTTTCAAGACTTCCAGAAAATCTGCCACAATTGAATAATATTAAGATAGTAAGAGCTCATTCCAACAGATTACGGTCTGTACCAATGTTTGCGTGCAGCGCTTCTGTAAAAATATTAGATTTCGCTCATAACGAATTGGATAGTATAGACTTACGACTTCTTGCCCCAAAACAATTGAAGTTTTTAGATATATCATGTAACAAAAAGTTGCAAGTGGATCCTTCACAATTTAGCGCGTACAGGTGTCAACGCCCTCTCAGTTTGGTCGATGTCACCGGGCGACATTCTTTACCTTGGACACAAAAAAGTGGTTATCACGAAGAACTGAACGGCTCAACGCCTTGGAGTACCGGATTCTCTGAATGTCCAAATAAATCGTTGCAGCTGTGTTGTGCACAAATACGTCTACCGTCTTTTTGCAATAGGGAAGGTTTATTTGCGATAATCGATGGGGAAACTGATATTGAAGTGCCAAAAATTTTACAAACGTCTATACCCGGACTTGTACTTGAAGAAAAATCAATTAAGGAAACAGTTAATGAGTATATGAAATATGTTGTTCTATCTGCACATAGAGAGCTCAAGGAAAAAGGACAGAAAAAAGGTGCTTGTCTAATCATGTGTCATTTATCACCCATAACTGCGCAAGAAAACGGTTTTGGCCACTCGGCCCGCAAGTATAGCTTAAAACTAGCCAACGTAGGAGATACAAAAGCTGTTCTAAGTAGACGCAATGGACCTTTAAGTTTGGGAATCGAAAATAATAAAAGATTGGGATATTCGACAAACTATCCTAATACTGTGCCAGATCCTGACGTCATACAAACCATTATTAAGGAAGACGATGAGTTTCTTATTTTAGGTAATGGCCATTTTTGGAATGCTGTTAGTATGGAGACTGCTGTATCTGAAGTCAGAGCTGAACGAAATCCCGTTTTAGCAGCCAAAAGATTACAAGATCTAGCACAAAGCTACGGCGTGGAAGAATGTATTTCAGTGTTAATTGTTCGTTTTGATACTGCTCGCTCTGATGTAGATTTGTTAATGCGTGAGTTACGACAAACCATAAATAGCAATAAATCTGTGTGCCGATCCGATTGTTGCTGTTCACGTTTAGAGCCGTGTTGTCATTCAGTGACGCCTCCAAAGCCGAGTAGTGATCGTTCTTCTCCAAGTGGGCAGAGTGATCGGCCGCCTAGCGAAGCTGTGAGTCACCAACATTATGCTAGCGTCAGATCACAAGCTAAAGCATCCGAACGAAGGAGTTGTCGAGGAGGCGTGGCCCGCGCTATACGTGTTCGAGTCGAAGAAGATAAGGAAGATGATCACAGACACGAAGAAGTATCTAATCCAGAAGAACAGTTCAAATGTTGGGAGTACATGCTCGAACAAAATACTCAAATGTTATTTGATAAAGAATTAGATAATTTGTCGAAAGGTATTAAGTCGAACGTGAGCAGCTTGAGAAACCTCAAAGGTCTATCAGGCAGTAGTCCGCAGTTACATTTGACAGGGAAACAATCGAAAGGTATGCCGTTTCTGTCAAAACATTTCGGGAGTGCGAGGTCGTTTGGCACTGCACTGAAACCTGATTTTAGATTCGGATCTGGTAGATTACCCAATGGAGGTCCAAATGCAGCGTACTTTGGATCTCTGCAGCGGCTCATGCCCTATCATTTGGAATACGATTTTGCTGTGATACAAGAGAAATCCACCCAAGACTCCTTAGACCTCGAAGGTCGCATGCAACAGTATTGGGGTGTAGCGACTACCGAACTGTAAAATGTAATATTGTATTTCTTAGGTACTGATAGCTTGTAAGTTGTAAATAAAACTTTATTGTAATTACATGTAAGTACAATTATTTATAATATAGATACCATCCATCTGTCGACTAGATTTTTTGCACAAAGTATTATAATCACTATGGACTTGCCTATATCAGCTATTATTACTTATATTACATTATTTCTATGTACAATATTGTGATAATTTCTGTCGAATGTTAAATAAATATGGGGTTACATCTATTCCAATCATATTTTTCTTTTGTATTATTATTTCATAACAATGTACATTCATATGTTTATGGCGTCTTGTACGAAACATTACGCCGTTACAATTTATGATTTTCTCTACAATCATAATTTATTTACAACAGTGTACCTTGCTAGTAAGGCGTTATCTTTATTCTCTGCTAAAAATATTTACAAATATTTATAATCCTTATTTTACAAAATCTAAACGAACGGCACAATCACAAATATACACTCAACAAAACTTCGATGCAGAAAACTCAGCACATTTTATTTTGTATTAACTTTAAAGTTATTAGTACGAAAGTATTGAATGATAAACTAAAACCGAGAGTTATTGTATGTAGTGTCGAAGGCTATGAAAACATTAATTAACATTAATTTCAAGTCTTGTGAACATGTAACAACGACGACATCACTCACATCCCTGTGCACCCAGCTTCCACCACACCACACATTTTAATATATTGTTTCAAGTTAAGTGCTTTGTGTTGCTTGCTAATCCAGTACCACTTTAGCAAGCTTTAGTCCCTTGTTACATTGACGTGCGAGAAATTGCTCTTTGGCGTGGAGTCAGTGGTATATTCAAACAGTGTCAAAAGTGCGGCACAACAAACTTCCACTAAATTCGTCAAACGACCTGAGAGTAATGTTTGCAGTGGAGTTATAGCTCACGCTTGACGACGAGCTCGAGAGGTTGTGGCGCGAGCACGTGCGGGTAGGGGGGCCGCGGGAGGGGGGGCGGCGGGGGCGCGGGCGGCGCGTGCGCCGGCGGTGGCCGCCGCTAGGGGAAGGCGCGTGGCGAGTAGTGGTGCGCCTCGCCCAGCCACGAGTCTGGCGACGGTGGGAAGTCGGGGTACCCACCCGCAGCTGGGGACGACGAACTACTCAGGTCTGATGCACCTCCCGCACCCCCTGCTCCTCCGATACCAGCGCCACTCATTGCTTGACCTGTTGAGAAAATAACATAGTTGAATTAGTCTGAAGGGTAACTGATTTCCAATTCTTCCACAGATTCACTTCCATGTATCAAAATTCATCTTGTATATATACTGCTAGAATATATTTGAGATATCGAAATCAAAGGGACCTATTAAAGTTTCATTAGCATTTAAATTATCAACCCTTCCGAAATCTCGTAGTTCTTATTACGTATAATAGCGTACCTCCTAATTATCAGGATCAATAATACAAGGCACTGACACTGAATATTAATAGTAGGTACTTTACTACCTATGTTAGTATAGACGAGATGGTCTGGCGGGTAGTGGTAGTGTGGATGTGGTGGAGAATGCGCGCGCAGGTATGGCGGCGTAGCGGCGTAGCGCGCGCCCCCTGCCGCCGCGCCCCCACCCGCCGGCGAACCTTCCTCGCCCCCTAGTGCTACCGTGCTGTAGCTATCGTTGCTCAGCTCTGGAAGAATACATTATGTCGTTGGTTATAGTTAAGAACTCCAAAAACAAATAACCAGGATTCAAAAGATGATCCAACCATTTTTGACAAATATCAAAGTCATCAAATCAATTAAAGTTAGCAAGTTGTATCTTAAATAATTTGAAATAGAGGCTCACTTTTTGAAGAATTTATTGTTCAGGGATGTTTATTAAAAGTAAATTTTTGAATGAATCAATAGTAGCGTAGTATACATATCACCAAGACGGAATATTAAATAAGCACTTACCGTGATGACTAAACGAATCCAAATCAATCTTGAGCTCGTCCTTGTCCAGTAACCTGTCGTGTCTAGGTGAGCCGCTTCCACTCTTCATAGACCTGAAGTATTGTGACCAGCGCGTGCGGCCAGCATCTTTCTTTAGCCGTTTTTCTTTCGCTCGTCTGGTGACAAAGAATTTAAAAAATGTTAGTAACACTACTACTATTATGTGTAATGTAATAAATATAAATAAACGAAAAATTCCCGATGATAGCATTTTTTATCTTAAGTATAATTACCGAACTGTTTCAACGAATAAATTGGCAAAACAAAGTTTAATTACAAAAGTTTACATAAACAGTTTTTGCGGCACTTATTACAGTAACCCCGTTTCATTAAGCGATGGGCACTCCGAATAATGACTGAACTTTGATTTAATAACGCAAACTCGTTATAACGCTTCGATTACTTTCGATTTAAACAAATAATCGTGTATCCGATGTATAAACAAAACACCCCCGTCGCATGTTTTGCGTGTGTTGTTATTAGTGGAGCGGCGGGGTGCCGGCGCGGGCTTTCAACAAAGAGGTTGATTAATTAAAGTGCCTCCGCCCAGTCCGCTGGGAGCGAAGCGTGTGCTGCCATCTACCTCATGCGGATTATTGATACATTGTCCCGAATTACCTTCTTCGTAGTATGTACTCATAAAGTTAATAGCCCAAATTTAAATAAGTCATTGGATGTTACGTAGAGGTTAGTACATAAGCTCATTGTTAGTTTTGGCAAAACATAATCAGTAACGTCGTCCAACAGAAATGTAACTTCAGAGGAGTGCGTTGTGTAGTAACGAGTGCGTTGTCAGCGATTTGGATTTGGGTATTTGTCTCTTACGCGTCAAACTATTTATTAAAGATTTTTTTAAAGAAGATAAAATAAAATTTTGTCTACTTGAAACTTATTGAAAGATATGATCTATACATATCTATAAACTGGCTGATTTTCTCTAAAACTATGACTGAAGCCATATAATGCAAAAGAAAAAAACCCATCCATAATTTCTTTTTTTTAATAAATTACCAGCATTTCACTTAGTTAGAACCCAAAAACTGAGAAAGCTTTTCTTGACGATTTTTTTTTGGTTGCCGGGTTACACAATATCTGCATAGTCGCCAAATGCCAGATATATTTTAATATAAGTAGATAATTATTTTTATGAACTATAAGTAGATAATTATTTTTATGAACTATGTGCCACGTTGTAAGTTTATCAAATTATCAGTTTTGTATACGTAACTTCACCAATACAAAAAAGAATATGGGCATTGAATAAACCTAACCAATATCGAATGCTAACAACACGTTTAACGTGATTTCTATTGTGAATGCACATACATCATCATACATGTAGGTACATAAACGACATAGCTATATCAAACACATAAAGTAAAGAAGTCGAGCATTGTGATATCGCGTTCAGGTTTACGAGGCGAGGCCGATGTGCAGGGCGTGACCGCTGGCGTGACTGTATCCACTCGCGCGCAACACAACATAGTTCCGCGACTATGCTTCCAAACACCAACAAACATTCGCTACCATAGATGCACAATGCGCAAATATCGAAGGCCATCCTTTTGTAAGAAAACCATTATGGTAATATGAGTTTTGTAGTTAGTTCTTTGACCTCGAAGGTCATGAGAATTGGTTACTGTCAATATTTTCTGAGGAAACTTAAATCTAGGTAATACATGGCACAAACACATGCAATTAATATTGACATTATAAGGTTGTCGATAAAATTTACAGTATGTTTAAAATGAATCAAAATTGTTTAAGAATATATTTTATATTTGTAATATTTCGAAAGGCATTTCAATTTATTTTGACAAGGAGGTTGAAATTGTACCTATAACTGAAACAGAACTGATCGAAAGAACATTAAAAAAACAGCCTTTTATAAAAAAAAAAAATTCTCCATAAATATTATTAACAGTATTATTTGCACTTTCTACTTTTTGATTATTATTATTTATTAAATATTTTTACTGAATAAAAAAAAGAATTCGTCAAACTGGCCGTTACAATTAAAGTATTTCTAGGATTTTGTAAAAAAAAGTAAAATAATCATAAAAACTAATATTTTATGGCGACTTATTTTATTTTAACACAAAAATTGCCAGTATTTAAATTTACTACCTTATTTAGTTTGGACCTTATTAAGTTTTCTTCTGTTTCTAATATCGCGGTCACACTAATTTTTGTGTAAAATTTATTTCAAAATTAGTTTTTTTTTCAAAACACGTTCTGATACGTGAGTAGGTGCTCAACAAAAACCAGTTTAAGTACCTATTTCCTTAGTACCAATACCATCAAATAAATCGTCACAGTTGCACATAAATTTTACTGAACATTTTAATGTTTAGCTCTGGCCGGCCATAAAGCTCTCTAATCTCTCTTTACGTCTTGTTAATTCACTTGACCATTTCAAAATCATTTCGCTAACTTGAGTAGGTAGTTTAAAGGTGCTTCTAGTGCTATTGATTTCAGTTATGGTATGATTTGGTAAATGATTCCTTTAGAAACACTTCTCAGGCGTGCTTATCTAATTGTTCAACGTTATAAGTATCGAGTTTGCGTAAATGGCCCCGTTTCTCATACAAATATTACTCTATCCAATTGCAAGCCACTGAGCTAGATATTCACTTATTTTGATCCAATTATAGCCAGCCAATCTAAGGATATCATCTTAGATATCAACGTAGAAATAGTTCTACCTAATACTTTTAGTTATTAAAAAAGGTGCATCCCTAAAAAATGTTCACGGCTGCCAGTACGTACTACTTCATAAGTATTTTGAATAATGATATTGTAACTACTCTGATTACAACAACATTTAATTTGTGCATAAATGCACATTACATTTGCAGTCACGAAGCAGATTGACAACAAAAAAGCAATTGACAGACAGAAAACTATTGAAGATGCATCGATGCATTGCATTTGATTTTGAGAGACTAAGTTATAGGACTTTTTTTTTTTGTATACGGCCTATTTCACTAGAATGAAATCATACTACTTGCGCCTGAAAAAATCACATACGATAGACCCTTCAAAACAATATCTTAAACAGAAAACACATTACCTAATATTGAAACCACTTGAAACCTCAAAATTTGACGAAAATAATCACAAATCTTTAAGAAAATTTCTACTGACCTGTTTTGAAACCAGACTTGCACGACCCTCATGTCGAGTCCCGTATCATGAGCCAGCTGTTCCCGCACGTGCCGCGCTGGCTTCGGACTACTGCTGTAAGCATTTTTCAAGGTCTCCAGCTGCTTCGCCGTGATCGTCGTCCGGGGTCTCTTACTCGCAGCATCACCGTCTAACGAACCCTCGCCGCCTGGACATTGGATATTACAACTGATTTTGATGTAGATTTTGCCATTTTCTTTTCCTATGGAGTGAATAAAGTTGGAATAAAATGTTGTCAAAAACATTAACGAAGAACGAACGAACTTCAATTAAACGTAGCGAATTTCACGTCCTACTAAACTTATTAAAAATAATGACTTTACCACGTGACTACGCCACGTCGCCGAGTCGGGGACGCTGCTCAGGAATAAAAGTCCCATAGTGTTATGAAACTAGTAGGTACGACTTTTCTGAGTTAATTCACGTTATTAAGTCGTTATGTTGTTGTTTATGTCATTTTATTTACTTTCTGAAGGCAATAACGCCTAATAAATGGGGTTTGCATATTGTTGTGTAACCATATACCGCGCACAATTCCAGATGTCATATGATTACTGTTTTTTTCTTAAACCTAAACCCAATAGAACTTGTGCGGATTCCAGTATCTACATCTGAAGAAAAAGGAGGGAAACAAACCTTTCGCTCTGGCAGCTTCATAGTCAGGTTTACACACGAGCTTCCCATCTTCCATAAGATAGAACTCGTCGCCGGTATTAAGGGTCCTTGCGCAGGCAGCACAGGCGAAGCAGCGCAAGTGGTAGACGTGGGACTGCGCGCGCCGCACCACCTGCGTGGGGGGGATGCCCTGCCCGCAGCCAGCGCACTTGGTGCCGAACCGCCTAGGACAACAGCCGCAATCACAACAACATTATCAACGTGATAGACGCTATAATAGACGTGGAGCCAATGGAATTTGTCGATGTCAATCTTAAAAATATGAATTGGAACAGACTCATTTTTTATTTTGTAATATTTTGAACAAAACAAATATGAGAAAATAGTCATGCATAAAGATACGTAGGTATAGGTTGACCAGTACATTCGAAACATAGTTATTCTCATTCAGTGATATCGAAATAACAAACGTTACAGTTTTCCGTAACACAGGTCAAATATATATGTAATAATCATCATCAGCAGTCAAAGCAAGTGCGGAGAGATATAACTGCACTAGATACTCTAGATATCTGTTTATATAAAAATGTATAAAGAAACTTACTTGAAGAAATCATCGGTGCAATATAGCTGGTTGTTCCTAGCGAAGCACTTCCCAGAGAGCATGGCGCGGCACTCGACGCAGCGCAGACAGCCGGCGTGCCACGTGCGGTCCGACACCTTTAGCACGTAGCGGTCCACGATCATCTCGTGGCACCCGCCGCATTTCGGGATACTGGCTGCAACACACGCATAAGGGTAAGGATGAAGTCGATGATTGCACAAAATTTATCCTCATTGTTAGGTAAATAATGTCTCCTGTCATTTTCACTTTTAGCTTTTGGGAGGCATTGGGTAAATTTATAAGCTTAACTTGTATGATACATATTATTATACATATATATGTTTTTTCAATCTTTAGTGAGTGGACACTATAAAATTAATTTTGAACTACTGTAAGTTATTAGTCTCATAAAAAATTTTGACGGGAAACTGTTTCAAGTATTGTATTTTTATTTTAGAGTGCACTAAACATTAAATTTGTTGATGAAGATTAGTCAACTTTGAATAAATTAGATTTTAAAACAGAAACTAAAATATAGTTTATTTTGCTGAAATACGCCATACTTTGGTGGTGATATTTGTTTGACGATGAAAACTATTTTAAATCACAAAAAAATTTTAAGTCTTGAAGTCGGTCTATCAATAAGCAGATAGAGGAAAAAATGAAATAATATTTATTTTTGCTATTCTTCGTCTTAGCTATAGTAACGTGATTTTCTTTTTTGTGATCAATCTTATAAAAATTGACCATCCTTCAGATCTGGCGCCTTTTTAAAAGGTGTTTTATTTGTATCTTCAATTATTTATTTATATCATCAATTCATCAAGTTTGTCTTGTTGTGTTAATGTCTATTCACTTTTTATAACATAGCATATACTTATATGTATGGCAAACGAAGAAACCTCAACAAAAAAATTGATGAAATTTGAAGAAATAAAATATATATGAAAGTCTTCATGTATGTTAAACTAAGTATGAGTATATTTTCGCTCCTAACAACTCAATCGAAACATGCCAAGAGAAACACCTAGATAGAATGGATCAGCCTTTCAGAAACTGGGTATAAATTTAACAATGACAGTGTCCTGTAAAACTACTGACAAAATAACTAAACAATTTGCGATGAGGTCGTTAATAGATATATCTAACTCTTTTTTTTCTCCCGTCCCGAGTGGAGCGAGAGAGATGGGTGTCGGACTCTTACTGACTAAAACCATCAGGTTCGTTCTCTTCTTTCAGTCCGGGATGAGGTACCTACATTATTGTGCTTGTAAATATACCAGCGTTCCCGGAATTCGATCTTGGTGGGTAACAGCTGAGTCTGGTCTTATGAGATACGTTTCGAGTCAGTTTACTATAGATATTAATATATGTATATTTGCAGTTTACTAAAAACAATATAATGTGATGCAACGGTTAAAACCCAGTATTTAATTAACTGTCCATATTTTATAATGAAACGATTCTAACGATTGTTTTATTTTCCCTTTCAATTAAATTAATCTTACTATTTTGTAGCGCATATGTACGATATATGTAGCTATATATACAAAAGATATCTACATATATGTATTAACTTATTATTCCTATTCTTCATTGGTCAGGTCCAATCACTAATGAAAAATGAATGAAATATCATTGGTATTATTTTATTAAACGTCAGAAATGTTAACATATTTTTTTATTTATTGTGCATTTTGTTATTAAAATTGGACAGAGGTGGAATTAATGCGTTAGAACGACACCACCTTAAGAGGAATTGGTGAAGAGATATTAATGTATGATAAGTGCAATCTAAAGAAAACAAGTACTTAAAATCTACATTTAACATCATAATAGCGTGTTACATCTAAGGAACTATTCGGTGTCCATAAAGTCACGACATTTCCTTCATAAAAATATATTGTAGACATTTTAATAAATACGTCACATTAACTATCTTGTATATTGTAGATTTTGACTGTATTAAAATAAATATTTCCAATGTTTTATGGTACAATTTAAATTACGGCAAGGTAAGGTAATTACTAATTAGCATGACTTTGACATAAATCATAAAGTTACTAGCTATTCTCTCGCGGTTTCACTCACTGATCGGCTCCATTTATATATTTTCAGCCTGTAGCACTCAGGAACATTGTGGCTATACATTAGTGAAAGAATTTTGGCAATCCGACCAGCGGTTCCAAAAGCTACCCCCTACATACAAACTCAAAATTTTTACCTCTTTATAATATTAGAATAGATTTGTATACTAAATTAAAACAAATAAAATCTTAAAAGAACGTAGGTATACGCCATTGTCATTATAATCAAGATTTAAGGTATGTTTCAATTAATTGTAGAAAACAAACAATTGATGTGTATCATTGAAAAATATTTACCTAAATATTGTCAAAATCAAAGAGTTTAAAAGTACCAAGTAGTAAATATTATTCGAGAATAATCATACAATATATCTAATATAAATACTTATATGGCCCAGCATACATACTTATTTACGCGACCTTTATTTACAATGGATATTATTCTGGTTCATTATATACGCTTGTTTTTTATGCTTTAATGATTTCAAATAATTCGTTACAGATTCGAATGTTTCCCGATAAAATTATACTAACCGAAACTATCTGATATGTTAGTACTTATCAACTTTAAACAGTTTTTGAAATACTAGTTTCTATGTATTGAGTAATCGAGAAAATGTTTTTAAACGATAGGTTTTGATAGTAGAAAAGATCAACATGATTTTTTTTTACGATAGAGTATGCCTGCTGTGAGTCGATTTGGTAAATATTATCGATAGTGATAAAATTTGAACTGAAATAAAAGGAATATAAATGCAAGTTACAGAAGTTATTTAAGTAATAAATTTTCATTAAGAATCATCTTATCTTACTTCTTACTAATATTATAAATGCGAAAGTTGGATGCGATGCGATGTTTGGATGTTTATTACTCAATCACGCCAAAACCGTTGGACGGACGTGGATGAAATTTGGCAAAGGAATAGGATACGCTCCGGAATAGGATATAGGCTACTTTTTATCAACATTACACGCGGGCAGAAGCTAGTATGATCATAGTAAGATCAAAGGAATGTGACCGAAAACATAATATATGGAATATATTGAATGTAAATTAATAGATATTAATTATTAGATATTAATTTCGCCTGTTCATTAAAAGCATGAACAGGCGAAATTAATATCTTAGATAGATTAGATTTTCGGTCGTCCTTCGTCGGTCTTTAGGCGGTGATGAAAGACAATTTGTTGTTAAAATTCTATATGTCTAAAACAACCAATTTAGCATAAGTAGATGTTTTTGACTGAAGAAATTTTAGGCAAATAGCTTTGTCTTACCGCAAATATTCCTAACAATACTTAATATAGTAAATGTTATAAGTATTCAGTACAATTAATAGTAAAGAGATAATGATTGGCCATAATTAATGTGGAAAAACTTGACAAGAAAGGACCGTATTCTTTTTTTTATAATGTCATTCTGATTTTTTGATGGTAAGTATAATCAGTGCCGCCTATGGACACCCGTAATACCAAAGGAGATACAAGTATGTTGCTGAACTTTCAGTGATTAACGTTTTAGAGATTTAGGGAAGAGGAAGAAGAAGTGGCTCAATGCTATTACTCTAACTCATACGGCGAAACAACGGTGTGGTTGTTTCGCACCGTTTTTCCTGAGGGGCCGTGGTATCACTCCGGTCGAGCCGGTCAATTCGTCTGAAAGCATATGACTCTCCCACACTTAATCAATTTTATCTCCTATTTTTCCTACATGCTGTCTAGTCGACGTAAAGTATTGTTGATTTGATAAAAAATATGATCTACACAGCCCACATCCAGTGGCTTATCCATCTAATGTGTTACAGAATAAGTAAATAATCTAGAAATAACGTCAATGTCAGAGGACTTATCTGGAATAGATAAGGCAAAGTTTTGTCAATGAATAACATGTAGTTAGGAACAGATTTTATCATGGTAGTAGAGAAAAAATTGATGAGGACATACATCTCAAGCTAACAGCAGAGAAAGCACTGTTACCTAATATATAATTAAACAGTGGAACTATTAAAGATACTGAGAAATTATAGTAGAATGTAGATCAATATGTAAATAGAAAACAAATGAATAATAAACAAGGTGACCAGCCACGTCAAGTACAAACCACAACACGGAGAAAAGAAAATAACAATAAAAGGAAAATGAATTTAAAATTTAGGTAAATAATTAATGATATTTTGAAAACATCACAGATCCTATTTAGAACACGTTTAACATTTACAAACGCAACACAGCACACGAAACACTGGCACTCAAAAACACAACATTACGTACATAGGAAAACTTCAGGCAAGTGTTCGAGTTGGATCGGCGGCACTCGCATGTCGTCGAGGTCGGCATCCTCAGCGCCCGGGTACATCATGGCCCCTAGCATGGTGACGCGGCCGCCCCGGACCGCTCCGTCCGGCGCACTGCCGCCACCCCGCCGCGCAACCCCCAACCCTCTTATCACCAACTCATTGCTATTGGTCGCCGATAACAACCACCACGCCCACCGACCAATCCACACGTACTCGGGATACACCCACCGATCGATTGTAAAAAGAATTTTCGCAGTATTTCCCACCGATATTGAACACTTTACATCGTTCAAGTGTTTACAGATGAGCGCAACTACACCGCTTTACTTTTTATGCACCATTCTTTTGCATCAATAAAAGATTAAAGGTAAATCAAAATGTAGCCATAAATGTTCATAAATCGTAGCTTTCATTTGTATAACTATGCATTCTACAAATATTATGAAAATGTCAGTAAAGCTCATTCGGCGGCTACGATGTGCTACGCTGTAGGTGACAATGATATTTGGGCGGCGCGTCGCGTAGCATCATCGTAGCATCTTAAGAAAACAAAAACAACTCGTAGCGACCATATACGTTTTGTATATTTTTTATTGTAACATAAACCAATTGAAATAAAATAAGAAATGTCCCCAAATAAAAATTAGAGACCTACATACATAATATTTAGATACGAACTTTAATAAATGGATAGGTTTACAATTTTAATTCGGTAAACCATCCAAAAACCTACTTACTCGTAGCCTGGTAGCGTCATTCCAATCGATATAGAGATTTGTTGAATCATTCTATATTTAATCAATTTTTCAATAATGTTTATTCTGTCTTACTGACGCCGTGATGAAGGCAGTGCACATTACTCTACTGCAAATGAAGAAGGCAGATTGTATTATTTTATGTGATTGGAAAGCAATTAGCATACGGATAACCTGACGGTAAGCAATCAACGCCGCCCATGGACAATAGTAACAAAGGAGAAGGAACTACTGCTTTCTCGACCTTTTAGGGATATGAAACTTTTAAAAGGGGTAAAGAAGTAAAATATACCTAGGTACGTAATACAAATCCATTTTAATGAATTACGTAATAAATTCTTGTTTTTGCGTGTAAATATGTTCATTTACGTACCTAGGTATGTAGACACGTATGAAAATGAATTTATAATTAAATACAAGTTCCATAGATATACATAATTATGTAAGCTTAAACTTGCAGTGCGGAACTTGGAACAGCTTATAACGACGAAGTTAGATCTAATTAACAAGACCCTATGCAAATCTTACTCTCCCTCCGTCAGGGTTATTTCAAACTAGGTTCGTTACTACAAAACATAGCTACATAGGTACACATACTAACAAAGCATTCGGCTATTTTATGGTGGAGCGATACTATAAATACTCAATATGAATCGTCGGCTCAATCCGGCTAGGCCGTGGTCAACCGTGCAGCGTGGTTGCTACGATAAATTATCCAAGTGAGCGCAGGCCAGCCGTGTGCAACTTTACGACGACATAAATCACAGTCAGCGTCACTGGAACCACCCTAAACGCGTGCGCAGACCAGGTTACAAGGTTATACATTATGAAACGTGAGCGAGCCTTGATTCGGTGTGAGCCGCGGATGTTGCACCGTGCGGGCGCGGACTGCGCCCACTGGGTCAACACCATGTTTTATTAATAGATCGCTTTCGTAGTCCCGTTGTAAGAATATACTCCAGTTGTGTCTGTGTGGTCATTGATAGGAGTTATTGTGATCGAGTTTAAATAATATTCGTTGAAGTTCGTACATAATATATGATTTTAATTATTTACTACATTTTACATGTCACTACTACGTAATTATCTATGTTTTTTAAGAGTAACGATGGAGTTTTTTACTTGTTACTTGTCTTGAACAAGCACTTAGCTTCACTGACGAACTGACTGACAGACTGTATTGATATGACAAACGAAATAAATGATTTTGACTTTAGTTTGATTAATATGTATTGTCAACTAAAACGTGGGATAAAAAATGAAAGAATAATAAAAAACCTCAAGGTCAAAAACCTAAACGTTTCCCAGCAACGCAACACAGCAATAAACACTGGCATACCATAAAATTATGATTCACAAAAACGAGTGCATTCAAAAATATTTTTTTATAAATTTTAACGCAGGACCGGGACGTAATACTTTGTTCCATAAATTGTGTGGGGCGGTCGTGTGCCACCGGTCCCAAGGGCACCGGCGCGTGCGCGGCCCGACGTAATTGACGGTTGCGAAGCACTCCTGGAGCTTCTTTCCCTTCAAATCTGCACATCGGATGCGACAGCAACCAACTCGCTCGGAAACACCAGGGAAGCATTAGTACTTCTTCAAACCAACCCCTTGCTATAAAAATGTATACAAAGTATAAGGAGAACGTTGCAAACTTTATAGTGATAATAATTTCTGAGAAACTTTGAAATTGTACATTTGGGATTTCATGACTGCTGACAAGTTTGCTGTCTCGTATACTAACAAAGATACACAATGTCGTAGAAGTACATACTTCCTTCATATTTTAAAAACCTGGAATTCTTGTTTACCACACTCTAAGCGATTGGCAAACTGATAAGATCAGTTTAGATAGAAATTTGTCCCCATCCGTGTACGCTGTATCAAACGCGTGCCGGTGGGATGTGGTGTCAAATTTCTGTGGGAAGTCAGTCCGCATTGAACCTCGACTAGTTCCCATGATCATACGACAAATATTGACAAGGTGATGTCATATTGATTGTACTACTCTTGTTTTCAAAAATCACTGTTTACAGAAAATCAAACAAAACTGTGCTGTGTATACCTTTTTCAAAACGTATTTGATAATTTTGTTTAACTCCACTCAAAACTATTAGATTTATACTTAATTATTTTAAACATGTATAAAATATGTGTTTTTAACCGAATTATTTTAGCATCAACGCGCAACGCGACGGCTAGGTCGCGATCCCGCCTGTTGTAAAGCGCTTTAATTTCATAATGTCTGCTTGATCTGATTATGGCGGAACCGAAAAATTATATCGTTCCGTAATTAGGTTAAAATGCAATTTAGAGATGCGCCGCGGGCGGCACGCGTCGACCGGCGAACACTTTTATGGTACTTTAGCAGTTGGGGGTTAGTGTAGCAACCCTACCCTGCACCGTCGGATCATACGATGATAACTAGAGATGTGAGTGATTGCTCATTGTTCTTTTGAACGGCACTCTGCCCATTTTTATTGCTTAATTATTTATGAGATACGTTTTTATGATCCATCTCATAACTTACGCATATCGTCGTCGTAGTAACAGCTTGTTAGCAGGCGCTTAAGAATTTATTTTCTATTTCGTGTTATATAACGTGTAACGTTGTATAAAACGTGTTAGTTAAACTATGCATTTCGAGGTATGAAAAGACTCTGTTGCAAACATCGACGTTATTTAAGTAGGGCAATGTAATATATAACGTGTATATAAAGTGGGTCTAGATTCAAACAAATAATCAAGACAGAATAATCAATAAAAAGAAAGTTAATCCCAAATTTTCCTTAAACAAGATTTACGCCACGCTTTGTGACGGCTTTAATTATTTATTTACGAAAACCATAAGCCACAAGCGAAGAGCACCAACAGAGCCCATAAAATCAAACCTAACAAAATAAACCTGGTGGGCTGTCGTCGCCCCTTCAAAACGCGACGAACCCCACTTATTAAAATTAATAAGTGGGCCCTTGCCTGCATTAATGATCGGCTTGTGTCAATAGAGATGTAATATATTTGACAAACAACGTAAAACCAGATCGTGGCTAACATTCACCGCACACAGCGCGCGCCTGCGATCGTGCTGGCTAGTGGCTATTTGTTCCGCAGCAACCACTAGCTACGGAATTCTATTGTAAGGGGTCTTAAAAATTTGGCATTTTTTTTTTATTGTTGGCAATATAATTTTGATTACTTGTAACATTTTTGACAATCTGAAATTTTGTAAACTATTACCTTTTTTGAGGAGGAGGGAAATCTTAAAATGGCTTCTCTCGTCTAGGCTCTGACTAACCCCCCCTAACGTTTATTTTTCTATGCCAGGCCCATGCCGCGGCAGTTTATTACCTTACTATTTTAACATTATGTGGGTTTGCAATAGAGCATATCCTCATATAACAGCCATATCATATAATATTTCTTCTGCAAACAAAGAGCTAAACATAGGCTATAATTAAATATACCAACATTTTTTAATTGAACCAACAATGCTTCTATTATGAAATAAAGTCCGTACGTGTAAATCTGGAATTGGCCGCTAGTTTAATATAATTTTTATTATCAAGCAAGAAGGATGAATACCTAACGAATATAAAAATTGCGACACAAACGCGATCTCTGTCTGTAGGTACCTAGTCATGACTCCGCTTATAAGTATCCCATTTGTGAGTATCAAAAATGTACGCATTAGTGATTCTTCAGTTTGAATTGAAGTGCACACTTTGAGTCTTTGATCTTTGTTTGCTCCTCCTCAGCCAACCCCACGAGGGTAACTGGTACTGGTAAAGTAAGGGGCCCAATGTTTGCCAAACAAATATTTTTCATAAACGCACTTCTCGCATTATTTGTACAATAATTCATTATGACAGGATATGATCATTTGTGATTTCGTCAGAATAATTAATTATTTAACTTTATTAAAAGCAAATACAATGGTAAAATTAAAAATAAAAATAAACTTTTGCAATTGCATATAAGAATGAAGTTACTATACCTATTGTACTTAGGTATTGTTGCACATTATGTAACATTGTTGCAATATCGCTAAGTGGGGATCTTATGAATAAGATTTCCCGCAAATTAAATGAAACCAAGCAATGATTACTTTAGTATACACAAGAATATTATTTTTGTAATTATTTACATACATAGATTGCCAAAATAACCCAAGCATTATTTTCCCATGCAACGTTTAATTGTTTTAAAACTAGCTAAGTTAAATTGTTACTTGGTTGGCGGTTCACAGTGCTAAAATATAAGTGCCTATTCTGTTTAGCATTGGGAATCAGGTTGCAAGTAGGAATACGATGCGAAGT